TGAAGCCAATTTTTATTTGACATCGCCCAAAGTGTTTTGTATGAGAATATGGGATCCACGTGGTACCTCGCGCAAGTGAACGACGATGGAGGCTCTGCGTGCAAGGTTTATAATACTTATGTTTATATAGTCGACCGAATAATTCAGGTTGAATCAATTTTGGCGTAGGTTAACGGTCTGATATTTAATTTGTTTCCTCCCGCCACTGTGCACCCAAAACCGTTGACACCAGATACCCCTGACAAACGGCTACCCTAAGTAAATAATAATAATCATCATCGTCATCGTCATCGTCATCGTCATCTATCCTTTAGACGCCAACTGGCGGATAGGGCACCAATAAGACTCCTCCATCTCTGTCAGTCCTTGTTCCCACTTTAGGGCCTGAATTACTGCCTCTGCAGTCCTTCTCCAGGTGGAATTAGGACGGCCTCTCTTCATTTTACCCTCTGGTGTTCATCTGCGAACAACTTTCGAGATCTTAGTGCTTTCTCAACGGAACACGTGACCGATCCAACGTTATCTTAGTCTTACACAATCCCCGTGCCTATTTAGATAAAGTTGGCTTAGAAAAAGAATAAAGTTGACTTCACAACATAACGCTTTATTTAATTTTACGCTCTGTCCGCTTTTCTAATTGCTAAACCTGTGCTTGTCTCCTAGGGTTTTGGCGCCGTGGGATAAAAAATCATTTACTTTGTGTCAAGCCACCAGCCCTCTTTTTCTGTTTCATATATTTTTTAGTTAGTTTTAATTACTTCTCATGCCAGGTCCGAAGGTGTTTGGAGCCATCTTACAGATTGGAGGAAATCGAATGATGTTGGACGGAGCTGGTAAGATACTGTTACTATGGTTACAGTACATTTGAGGATGGCAAAAAAGGGAATACCCTTGGAGACTAGGGCAATTGCTTGAAATATCTTTTGGAAGTATCCTCTAATGTTCTCGAACGGGCAGTAATGTGCTGCTGAGTTATTAGAACGGTTTTCCTGTTAGCCTGTGACGCAATTTTGTTCCGGGAAGGAATCCCATACAAAAAGGACAGGGGTGCTCGTCGGAAATTTTGAAAAAAAAAACCCTAAACGGGTGCCAATATCCTGTTTTATGGGCGTGGCTCTGAGAATTTACCACCCCTAAGAGATACCAATTCTTAAACAACACATTATCTCCTGTCATATTATTTTCCAACTCAATACCCTAAAAGGAACCGCAACAGCTCCCGCTGTAGACCTTTTGAGGCTAAATGCCCTAAGAGGTACCAAAACCGTTTTTTAAGCTCCTAAAAGGTACGACGAACAGCCCCGTCCTTTTTATATTGAAGTCCCCCGGGACTTTTGTACTTACATAGGAATTGAACACAATTGAGCAAGATAGACTCCACACTGGCGCTTAAGCCATAATTAACGAAGATTTAACTGGATTACCCGTTTTAGGCTGGATTACCGTTTTAGGCTGTCAACAATCCTATTATCTTTTCGTATTTGCTCTTCCATCCGCATCTTGGAACCCCTATCTTGAATCCGTCTGTCGGCCATCTTGAATGTCAAGGACAGGTTCAATTGAGATGTTAGCTTCACAAGAGATTCTTCTGAAGGTTTAAACTGTTTGAATGTTTCCTTTGCTCTCTTCGTAGGTTTTGGGACCTCTGCCGAGATGTACTACGACACGACTCTACAAGAAGCCGTTTCTCGAGGCCTTAAATGCCACTCAAACGATCTGTCAAAAAGCGTCAAATTCGTCAGGCTGATTACAAAGTACTTACAGGAAGAGTACAACAACATATTCTACGGAAAGGCGCAGAACCTGGGGCGAGTGCTTTGTAAAGCCTACGACGAGGCACTCCAAAAATACGACGTATTGATTCTACCTACCCTTCCCAAGAAGGCACCAGTCTTCCCGCAAGAGAATCCTCCCTTGGAAGGTGTGGATTGTTTGATAGCTGTTAAAAATGTCTGAAAGTTTGCCGTTACAGGCTTCCCTAACACAAAAATCCCTGAGGTCTTTCTTTAGTCAGTTAGCGGAAGACCAAAATGATTGTGAAAATAACATTATCAATTTCCTACGGTTCATAAAAACTCCCAGGGTGGGAAAAAAGTGTTCTCGTGCGGGTGGATTTCACTGGACCTGTTAGTAGAACTATCACAGTCAGTTCCATAATCTAGGAATCTAGGTGAAAGATAGCGAGGGGAAGGGAAAAAAAAGAAAAGGGATTTTCGCCAAAGTCAAAATCGAAATAAAACTGAACATTCAAATGTCTTGTAAGAATTTCAACAATACATGCATTTACTTATCTAAGTTATTTTGTCACAGGACGTAGTAGCAGCGTTAACCAATTTACACACTCTGAACCAAGGTAAATTCTTGATTTTGCAGAGTATTTGGAAAAGGCATTTGAAATGGTGGTGAACTGTTCACCGTTTAACGTCACAGGCCACCCAGCGCTGTCAATCAACGCGGGGTTCAGTGATGGATTACCAGTCGGTATGATGATTGTGGGAAGAAAGTTTGACGAAGTCACTGTTCTGAATGTCGCCTACGCTTACGAGAAGATCAGGGATGCGAAAGAATAAAAACAAAACACATGTTGAGTAGCAGAGAGGAAGCTATAACGTTACTCAAAAGTTATCATTACTTTGGTTGTAATCATCAAATGATTACTTTGGTATAGAATTTAGAAAGAAGAGTTGTCAACATAAATTGCTCACACGCTAGGTTTGACAATAAAGCTCGCGAGACAATGAATTTCAGATACACTTAGATGGTGCTTCATGACTGTTTGACATCTCACAGTTGAGTCAACTTCCAGCACGTTTGAAAGAACATTTGTAACACAATAGGTTTTAAAAGCCTACTTAGTATAAGATTGATTTATGCAGCCAATAGAACAATGGAAATAAAAGTATGCATTCTTACTCGGCACGGAATCCCAGTCCACTGCAATTAAGAAAAGTCATTAAATATTAACTGGAAATGCTTTTTCTTTTACATGAACTAAAAATAAGATAATTATGTCTCGGCTGATCTATAATAGACCCTTTTATCGCACAACATAGCGCAAAATCGTACAACATAGCAAAACATAACAACACATAGTACAACATACCACAACATGGCGCAACATAGCACAACATAGCACAACATGGAAAAACATGGCACAGCATAGCACAACACGGCACAACATGACACAAGATAGCACAACATACCAGAACATGGCACAATGTGGCACAATGTGGCACAACATGGCACAACGCGATACAGGATAGCACAACATACCACAACATGGTACAATACGGTACAATGTAGCACAACATGGCACAATGTGGCACAATGTGGCACAGTGTGGCACAAAGTTGCGTAATGTGGCGCAATGTTGCACAATGTGGCACACTGACACAGTGTGGCACAATGAGGCACAGTGTGGCACAATGTGGCACAATGTGACACAATGTAGGGCAATGTGGCACAGTGTTGCAAAGTGTGGCACAACGTGGCGCAGTGTGGCGCAATGTGGCACAGTGACACTGGCACAATGTGGCACAATGTGGCGCAATGTGACACAGTGTGGTACAGTGTGGCACAATGTGGTACAATGTGGCAAAATGTGGCATAATGTGGCGCAACGTGGCACAATGTGTTAGAATGTGGCAAATTGTTTCGCAATGTGGCACATGTTTCGCAATGTGGCGCAATTTGGTGCAATTTGGCACAGTGTGGCACAATGTGGCACAATGTTGCATAATGTGGCGTAATGTGGCACAATGTTGCACAATGTGGCACATGGCACAATATGGGGCAATGTGGCGCAATGTGGCACAGTGTGGCACAATGTGGCACAATATGGCACAATGTGGCACAATGTGGTACAATTTGGCATAATGTGGCTTAATGTGGCTTAATGTGGCACAAAGTGGCACAATGTGGCACATTGTTGGACATCGTGTGGCAATGTGGGGCAATGTGGCGCAATGTGGCACAATATGGCCCCTTGTGGCACAATGTGGCACAATGTGGCACAATGTGGCACAATGTGGCACAATGTGGCTTAATGTGGCACAATGTGGCGCAATGTGGTGCAATGTGACTTAATGTGGCGCAGTGTGGCGCAATTTGGTTCAGTGTGGCACAATTTGGCTCAGTATGGCACAATGTGGCACATTGTGGCACAATGTGGCGCAGTGTGGCACATTGAGGCCAAATGTGGCCTAATGTATTTTAATGTTGGCTAAAGTGTTGCGCAATGTGGCTCAATGTTGCACAATGTGGCACAATATGGCATAATGTGGCGCAATTTGGCTCAGTGTGGCACAATTTGGCTTAATATGGCAGAATATGGCACATTGTGGCCCAATGTTGCGCAATATGGCACATTGTGGTGTAATGTGGCGTAATGTAGCCCAATGTGGCACAATGTGTCACAATGTGGCACAATGTGGCACTATGTGGCACAATGATGTAGGCTGTGGAGGTAAATTTGAGGGACTGAGGAGGTGTAAGCAGTAAACACTCCTTTTCCTTGGCCATCGTAGCTTTAGCAGAAACAAAACACAAACCGCCGTGATAAACATGGAACCAAAACGCATGTTAAACAAAGTTAATTTCCTTGACGTTTCGTATGTACAACATACATCTTCAGAAGTGACCGTTAACTAGATCACAACTGAAATTTAAACGCGAAGAAAAAGGAAAAGACTGGTATCTAATAATATGTAACAAGACTAATAAGGTGTAAGCAGTGTAGGTATATGTAGGGGATTTTTTGAGATTTAGACCGTGTAGGTTTATTTGGGGGATTAATGAAATGGAGGATCTAAGGGATATTAGGAGGATATTTAGGAGGGTGGTTGAGGAAGTTTACTTGATTATATATCCAGGAGGTATTGTTTTAAGAGGGATTATGAAAGATGACTTTTAAATCGTTGAATTAAAAAGAACCTTGGCAAAGAGCTGCACTTTATGTGATTTTTACGGTTTTTACACGATACTTTCATCTGCGTTCGACTGGTCTTAGGCTAAAATTAAACAAGAACAAAGCACAAAGCAGCCACTCAGGATGACAGACACCACGTTAAAACAAGTGTATCGACCTTCCAGCATTGGAGATGTAACTATGGAGATCTTAACAACTGGTTATTAATGACGACGGCGACGGCGAGGATAACGCCTTGTAAAATTGAATTTTCCAGGATGCCTATGGCTCTAAAACCTAGCTCAGGCTAAATATGTAATGACAGCGTTCAATTCTAAATGGAAATATGAAAAATTAGCAGTTTGACTCATCGTTCGCGTTCGCGGTCATTTTGCGTTGTTGTTGATTTGCAGAGGACGGCTATGAAGTGAACAATGGTTTACTGAACACACTTGTACAGCCTTTGTTTTGCTCATTTAATTTTTTGTTTGGTGGTGCTTATTGACGTCGTGGTTTACTTCAGACTCCGTCCACACTACGCCGGCTGGTTCCTCGGCGTCCGATATGGCAACTCGTTCGTAGTTCGTCGAGTGTCGCCAGGAAGGGTAATAGTTGTGTTATTTTGAACAAAATATGCTGTTCCTTGTCAAATTAAACCCGGAATTCTCAAGTTGACCATTAGAAGAGGCCAAAGCAACTGTAGCATTGTCTCTATTTCTGTTAGCCGCGAAGAAAAAGGCTATTACCATGCCGTTTCGGTAGGCCATATACTGCCCAAGAGGAAATTCTTGACATCCAGATCTTGGGTATACAATTAATTATCGAATGCCAGGGTATGTGATTCGCATACCTAAAAGGAAATTCATGATATCCAGATCTAAGGTGTATAACGACAAGCCGCTCGTTTTGTTAAACATTTTTATTATCGAATACCGTGAGGGTTTGTGAACGGTCTCTTGAATGAGCTAAATAATTAATCGCATCTCATTAAATCGGTTCTGCAACCACTGAATTTTCACTTAATCAGTTGTTATCAGTTCATGTGGAGCCAAGCGGGCTATTCACAATTGAAAAGAGGAAAACAGAGGCAGCTAACAACATTTCACTCAAAACCCTGCCGTGACAATCAAAACACAAAACTATTACAATGTCAGATGATAATTTCCAGGTCAAATGCGTATTATTCTTTGTAAGACTCGACCTTTTTCCTGCCAACCCCTTCCGGCCGGCCTGCAATTTTAATCAGTGAATATCCTCTCTCTCTTATCTCATGCTCTCATGGGTAAAAGAAGAAATAAATAAGCATTGTGGGTTCACCCTTCCCTTGAAAACTTCTCCTAATTTATAGCGCATTAATATTTACAACATGTTATTCTTGGAACTACTCGAATTAAATCGGTAGCCAGGGATTTTATGTAGCACGATATAATAAGCCAGATACCTTCTTTGATGTATAAAAAGCTCCCTCCCTTTAAAGGTCTTCCACAACTGAATATATTTCTCGTCAAAAAAAAGATGCAAC